ACACACACACACACACACACACACACTTCTATGATGTCATCCACCTTGATGGCACATCCAGTTCCATGGGCACCAGGCACACAATTGGTGCACAGACATGAGTACAGGCAAAACACTCATACACATAAAATAAAAAGAAAAATGTAAAAGTTATTTTTAAAAAATTAAGAGGTATTCAAGCGAGGGAGAAAGACAACATTAAAAACATTGGGCAGAGTTTGATGGAAGGTTTTCAGAGATAAACTGGGCGAAAAAAGAGTTTAAAAAAGCTGTGTGTCTTGTAAAGAAAAGGCTACACTCTAATTCTAATAGGAAACATGCTAATTAGTATGTAAATCTACTAATTAGATTAATTAAGTTGGGAACTGTAGGCAGTTCTATTGAAAGATTCCCTCCTAAGACTTTTTTTTTTTAATGTAAAATTCTAGGGACTGGGACGATGCTCAGTGGGCAAAGTGCTCACTTCCCAAGCATAGTGGCCTGAGTTCAGCTCTGCAGACCCCCGTAGAACCCGGGCAGAGGCACACATCTGAAGCTCCAGTGTTGGAGGAGGAGACAGGCAGATCCCAGGAGTTGGCTGGCCAGCCAGTTTGGCTACACACTGAGCTCCAGATTCAGGGAGAGACCTTGTCTCAAAAACCAAGGTGTGGAAGTGATAAAGACAACTGATATTAACCTCTAGCCTCTCTGCTTTCATACACAGGTATGTGTGTGCCCATGTGCACACACGCACACATTCTTAAAACATAAACAAAATTCTCTCTGGTGCTGGTATGTAGTTATATCTTCTTGATACCCATGGATCTGATGACTTAGAAGATACTTAAGGAACTCATGTACATGAGACAATATTATAAAGACAATTCCATATATGTGAGGTTCATTTTTTTTCAATTGGGAGTTTAAAGATGCTTAGGAGCATATGGTTCTGAAAACCCAACATTTGCTATGGGTTGATGGGTCCCTGAGGTTGAAAGATTATAGTGGAATCATCAAATGCCCCTGCCCGACATCCATGCAGATCCAAATAACAAATAGATAATGTTTAGGTAGATATGCCAAGACATTTTCTGCTCTTAACTATTTTTACAATTGGCATTTTGCAAACATTCATATCTTTTTTCTTTGTTGCAAAAAATTTCAGTCTCCCATGGCATTGACAGCATAATGCACTATCATTTTAAAGCATTCTCATACTGCCGGGGTTGTTTATCCCCCCTCTGTTTATTTTGTTATTTTCATTGTAATGAATACATTTATTGCTGACCATCTACTGTCTCCTTAGAATACATATGTAGATGGAGAATTGTGTACCATAACACATGGGCATTTTTATGAGTCTCACTGTGTCATAAAATGGATTTTCAGGAGACAATTTACAATCCTTCCAGCAAGGATTACACGTTCTCTGCTCTTCGGTATTATTTTAACTCACATCACCTATTGGAGAGATAAAAAATGGTATCTTGCTGCTTGCATTTGCATATCTCGTTGCCAAGAGCTCTTACACGAATTTCTTCTCTAAGAGCTCTGATTTATTTCTAAGCCTCCTGACTTAAAAGGCAATCGATTCAAAAGGCTCGCTGATGAAGATAGACTGTGAAATGAACTCAGGTGAAAATTTACTTTTCGGTGAGGAGGAAGGACCTGTTCATTCCTGATAAGCAAAAGTGAAAGGAGATGAAGCCTCAGCTCTGTTGGCCACTCTCTGAAGTCTGTGCTTTGCCAGGAGGGCGGGTCAAACACGGATGCTGACCCCCTACTCTGAACCTCATTGGTCCAATCCAGCATACTCAGATGGCATGCCAGGCCAGCAGGCTAACACTCTCCTAAATCTCAGAATCGTATTGGTTGCTTCTCTGTTGCTGTGACAACACACCAAGATCAAAAGCAATTTAACCAAGAGTCTGTTTTGGCTTGCAGCTCCTAAGGGCTAGTGTCTCCAATGATGTTAGCAGGAGGCAGACACTGGCTGGTGACATGTCCTCTGCACAAAGGAAGTAGAGAAACAGGAAGTGGGGTGAGGCTATAAATCCTCAAACACAGTGATGTACTTCCTCCACCAAGACACCACATGCATAAACTCCCCAAACGGAGCCACCAACTGCAGATCAGGTACCTAAACACAGTAGCCAATGGTGACATTTCAAACCACTACATTCCCAGAGGCTCAAGATCCTAGAGCAGCGGTTCTCAACATGTGGGTCGGTCGCAATCCCTTTGGAGCCACATGTCAGATTTTTACATTATGATTCATAACTAGCAAAATTACAGTTATGAAGTAGCAACAAAATGATTTTATGGTTGGGGGGGGGGTCACCACAACGTGAGGAACTGTATTAAAGGGTCACAGATTTAGGAAGGCTGAGAACCACCATCCTAGAGTAAGTTGTCTACATCCTAAGGGTCAACCACTGTGCCACATGATTTACATAATTAACTCTTACAGTAGAACTTCACTTCAGAGACATTTATGCCCATTTCTCTGATAAAAAAAAAAAGGCTCAGAGAGACTTTTCCTTGTCCCACTGGCACATAGGTAGTAAGTGAACAGTCTGAAACTCAAAACCAGCTGCTGGTATTGACACCATGCCACTGACTCAAATCTCTTCCACGTAACGTGTGTGCATGTGTGTGCATGCGTGTACGTGTGTACGTGTGTGTGCGTGTGTGTGTGTGTGTGTGTGTGTGTAGAGTACACGTGTGTCTCTGTGTGTGTGTACATGTACATCTATGGGGGTTGTTGTAGAGGGATGCTTGTGTGAGGTCAGAGGTCAACCTTGAATTTTTTTTCCTTCATCATTACCCTCTTCTTGAGACAGGGTTTCTCACTAAGACCTGGGACTCTCGGATTCGTCTACACTGGGGAGCAAGCAAACCCCAGGATCCCCTCGGCCTGTCTCCCCACTGCTGGGACTATAGGCATGTGCGGCCATGCCTAGCTTTTTTAAAAATTATTTTAAAATAAAAATAGTACATGAATGGCCTGAAACCCAAATCCAGCTGACACACCATGCTCACTAACACAAATTCCTTCCCTACTGTGTGTGTGTGTGTGTGTGTGTGTGTGTGTGTGTGTGTGTACTTGAGCACAGGTATGTAATTCATCACCTACATGCAGAGGTCAGAGAGGTCAGAGCCCACAGAGGTCAGAAAGGGGTTTTGGGTCCCCTGAACTGGAGTTAAAAAAGCTGTGAGTTGCCATGTGGATGCTGGGAACCAAACTCGATCCTCTCCGAGAGCAGTAAGTACTCTTAACCAATGAGCTGTTTCTCCGGCCCCAAGCCCAACATTTTACTTGGGTTCTGAGAATCGAACTCAGGTGTCTGCATTTTATGAGCTGGGGTGTCTTCCCTAACCACCATCCATACTGTGAAGGTGATTGAACTTCAGTGCCTTGTGAAATAATCAATCACTACCCTTATTTGAAGCAAAAGCGTATAAATATAATAATTTAACACTGACTCTATAACATAACTTAAACCTCCTTTATTGTCTATTAGGACAAGACCAGAAAAAAGTAACCTGAGTTTCAAAACGAGACAATTTAACTGTTCCTCTCTCTGATTTCATAAAGTTTTTCTGGGTTATCAATCCTCCAGTCCTTAAGCATTCTAACTTTCCAGCCTGTCCCAGATCAAAGTAAAATTGTCCATTCCTTCCAGAAGTCAGCTGTGAACCCTTTTCATAATGCCACGGGACACTCCCTTCAATGTTCTCATCTGACCAATCTCGCTGCATCACCCAGACATCCCATGGGTGGAGACAGAAGCCTGCCACCAACTAGTTCTTACCCAGTCTGTAGAACCTTCTAGTAAATTCCCAAAATTTTTACTGGCAGGTTGTGAAATGTAAATATTAAAGGATAAGTATTTTCAAGTAGATAAATCACAACAGAAATAATAAATATTCAGATATCAGTGTTTCCCAATGAAATCACCTTATTTCATTAGGTTCCATGCTTTTCCACCTTTGTCTCTAGTGGAAAGGCTACACGTTGGCATCTGCAGTATGTCTCTGGATGACCCACATTGATGACCCCACAGTGACGACCACAGTTAGCATTTGAACTCCGAGAATCAGAAAATGGTACAAATCAGGGTAATTTTACTCGATGAACCCCCTGCTAAGCATTAAGAGTTCTAGCTCAGGCCCGGTGAGTCAGAGAGGTATTAGCTTTGAAAGCCTAAGACCCATCTCCAATCACCGAACACCTTCCTCCAACATCACTCTGCCTGCCTTCTCTCTCCATGCACAGCCCTGGTTCCGTTTCTACCGTCAATCCTTGGTTTATACGTATGTCCAACATCCTGTAAAATGCACTGTTTCCAAGATAGTTCATTTCATCTTGTTTTACCATGTAAATATTTTAAAATATAATGAAATCGCAAACTTTTATTATATTATTTCATGAAAAAAATCTCATCTTCCCGAAAACATTCATGGTCCATTTGGAAGCCCGTTGCTGAATCCTTGCTACCTGCAGGGGGCAGCAGTGACCCTTGAGAGGAACGCGATGTCAAGCCATCTTGACTGAGAAAGAACACACATTTTTAGGGCAAAGTCAAGAACATTTCTAAATAGTTTGCTGGCTCATCATATTCTTTGTGTCAGCAAGCTGCCTTTTAAAATGCAGGATATGTTATTCTCTACACTCTTGTGAAACAAACAATTAAAAATGTCATTTACTTTTTTGTGCAAATTCACCTGGACCTGAGGAAGCTGGAAATTTCTCAGATTCCCACAGAACAGATTTGGATGATTTTACCTCATTCATGTGTTAATTATTTTTTAAAAATCTAATTGCTTCTACTTGTTAAAAATATAAATTCCTGAGCAGATAAACAGAGTACAGATTTCAAAGCACAGAATCCCTACATTTAAAGAAAAAAATTCATGAAAGACAAGACCATTCAATAAATAATTTAACTCCATAACTCCTCTGAAATCCACTTAAGGAATGAAATTGAATCTGAGTCTAAAATAATCCTATCAGACTGCTGTGTGCCTAGTGCATGGTGAGCACTATTTACAAGGAGTATCCCTCTGTCTGTAGAGAAACATGTGATCCGGATGCATTATCAACCTGGGGTTCGAGAACTGTTCAACACCAGGAGGGATCACAGAACAGAGATCCCTGCAGGGTGTGGAATAGTGGAATAACAGTATCAACACATGAAATCTGGAGTGGGGGTGTCCTGTCTCTTTCCATGACTCAAATCAGATAATCTGTGTGGGTATGGCCATTCCTGTGCATGCATGTTTGTGGAGGCCAGAAGTCGACATCAGGGGTCTTCTTCCATCACTCTCCATCATATATTTTGAGACAGGGTCTGTCACTGAACCTGGAGCCTGCTGATTTAGCTAAGTAGGCCGAGCAATGAGCTGCAAGGATCTACCTATCTTTACCTCCATAACATGATAGAACCACAAGAGTGTGCCACCATACCTGGCCTTTTCAGGGGATCAAAACTCAGGTCCCCAAGTCTGCATGGCAAGAATTCCCTGACGAAGCTATCTCCGCAGCCCTGATTGGATGTACATGCAAATACTAGCAGGAAACAAATACATCAGATACATGAGTATCGAGGATGTACAAAATGTCACTCCTGCTGACCAAGAGCTTGTGAATTGCTGTATTATAAGCTGGGGGGTTATTTGGCAAGTGTTGGATTTACTTCACATGGTGGGTTTGATAATAAGTGAGATACAACACTTGAAAGCCATCTGAGCATTGGACACATAGTGAGTGAGTGACGGACCAGTATGGTGTTAAGAAAATATTAACACTGCAAAGTGGCACAAAACTGATAAAATGGAGAAGGTCAACTGCAGAAGACTACCCAAGGAGGAGTCCACTGTGGTGGCCCAGACAGGGGGTGGCAGGGTGGGAACAAGTGGCGCTGTGGAAATAACTTAAAAAAAAAAAAGATGAGAATTGGGGTGACGTCATGTCCAACAAGAGAGCAACAAAGAAGAAAATAAAATGCTTAACATGTGTTCCTTAAATGGTTGTGGAGACAGGAAATCAGAAAGCTAAGTAGGTGCCTGGGTGGAGTAATTCAGAAAAAAGGTGAAGAGCGTGGCCTTTGACATACTGAGGTTGAGGTAACAGATGATGACATTAAACAAAATAGAAAAATCGTCGGGATGCCATGCTCATAAACACCTAGTCAGCCTTTAAGACCCTCCTCCAATGCCCTTCCCTCCAGGAAGCCTTGCTTCCAAGGCCACAGAGGGTTTCCCATATTTCCATAATCCCAAAGCAGCTGACTTGGTGCTGTGTTTTGTCGCTGACATATCTGGCCATGTCTATGACTTCAGTTAGACCCCATAGAACTATCTGAAGGCAGGGGTCATGGATCTGTGTCCTCAGCACAGTATGCCATTCACAGCTGATGCTCTGAACAGCCAGAGGAAGGTGGAGACAGCACCTGCTGGGAAACAGTCTCAAAACAGAAGAGCAAAAGGCACATGCTGTCATGGGCTGGAAGCATTGGTGGATGCCATTTCCAAGAGGGAAACATATTTTCAAAGAAAAGAGAACTAAAGGCCAGGTTCTGAGGGGTGGATTCCTCAGAGAACCAAGAAGGAAGAAAATCATATTGAAATAAAAATAAAAAATACAAATAAGAATATTGAACAAAAAAGAAAAAAACAGAAAAACAAAACAAAAAAGTGAACAAAAAGACCCCACTTCCCTCCTCTGTCGTTCCTGCCTCCCCATCGCTTCTTCATGTTGACAGGAGGAGAAAATAAGCCAAAAGCACATATGAAAATGAATTTAAAAAGGGTGGTGGTGGAAAGAAGGAAATCTCCGCTCCAACATCCAGAATGCTGCTGGCATCTAAGGGAATGGAGAAGAATGAACCACCGAACTGTAAGGCCAAACTCGGCTGCAAACACTGCCCCAGGAATAACACTCAGAAGGAGGGAATGGGGGCCGTTTATTCGGATGCGACACCAAGGATGTGAGAAGCACCTAGCCCTGTTGTTTAAGTTGTGCAAAGACTAAACAGATTCAGTCAGGTTGAGTGACCATCTCAGGCAGAGAGTTCTTGAAGAAGCTAATTTTAAAATGTGCTGACTAACAGAACTGTCAGGGCCCAGTGTTGGGGTTCAGCCTCTAGAAATCTATCAATGGGTCCCTTGAAGGGGGGAGTGAGGAACTGAAAAGTAATAGCAAGAAATATAGACATAGACGGAGAGAAAGACAGAGACACAGGATAGCTTCGGGAGGGCCCTAGGTCAATACCCAGCAGCCTCAAGTTTATGTCTAATGGGCTTTTATACACTAGCAGGGGAGAGGCAAAAGACTCCCCCTTTCAAAATCAAAGCACAAAGTACAACCAAGTGTAGACCCTCCAAAACACCTGGTAACTACACCCCACAGCTAAGCATCTTGTGATTCGGCCTTGAAGTATAAGACACTGGTGACCAGGCCTTTGCACCCTATTATGCAGCCTTGGAGAGCAACACAAACTGACTCTCTGACCTTGAGTCAAACCACAAGTTGGAGCCTTTGTGGGCTCCCACACAGAACCACCGTCACAGTAACACGAAAGAAGCGTGTATTAAGGAGGGTAAATGAAGCTGTTTGGGGCACTCCCCCCCCCTCCCCCAGCACTCCAGGAGCAGTGGTCTTGTCAAGACAAGTGACTTCCTGTGAAGCATGGCTTATTCTCTGGCCAGGCAGACACCTTCAGCTGCCCCCCTATGACAGGCAGGAATGAACAGTCCTTCTGGGAGCCCTTTGTTCCTAGCAATGGCAAACCACTCTGCTGAAGCTATCTAGTGCCTTGCTGAAGGAAGGGGTGAGTTGGATTGTGACTCCTAATCTATCTAGATTCTTAATCCCATTCCAGGAAGTTCCGGTGTTTCTAGAAAATCCAGGGGATCCCAGAATCACCCTAGGAGGTGGCTGTTATTTAATTTGCCCTTTTTATTTCCAAATGAGGAGACTGAGGTCCAAAAGGTCAAGCGGCTTGTGTAAGATCATACTGGCAGTTACAGTGGACAGACAAAGCCCAGGGCCTAGCTCTACAGACTTCCAGGACAGTTCCCAACTGTGTGGGAGAAACACAAGAAAAAACACTCACAATGGAGACAGGCTTCCTCTTCTCGCTAAAGGCAAACCCCCCTTAAAGATATATTTTATTGTTTAAAGGTATATATGTGTACGTGTGTGTGTGTGTGTGTGTGTGTGTGTGTGTGTGTGTGTTCACGTAAGTATGGGTAGCAGAAGAGGACAGAAGAGAGTGTCAGCTTCCCCGGAGCTGAAGCCACCAGTGAGGGAATTGAATCCAGCTCCTTGGTAAAGCCACCCCTGTTCTTCACTGCTGAGCCATCTCTCCAGCACCTCAGGACCACCTCTTAGGCTACAGCACCCACCTGCTGCTCTCCTCTTCCCGGGTTTGCACTGGAGCCCCCAGCTGAAGAAGGAGAGGGTCCCTTCCCCTCGGCAGCCAGTTCGTGGGATTCTGTCTTCCTTACCCACTTACCTGCCTATAGACAGGTTGTAAAGGCCCTGTTATGCCCATGTTTTCACTGTGGTTCGATTTCTCGCTTGTCTCAGCTCTGTTGTGTGTGTGTGTGTGTGTGTGTGTGTGTGTGTGTGTGTGTGTGTGTGTGTGTTTAATACTTTTTGAACTGAGTTTTGAAAAGAGACTGAGCTTCAGTGCTCTGGTCGTTGAATTTTCTAGTACACACTATGTGAAATGCTAGGTGCCACCCCTTTCTCTGGACAGTTCGCATCCAGTAACTCACGATTTGATACACTCTAATGAGGTGAGCATGCCTACTTTCTCTACTTCACGGAGGACACAGAGAAGAGTCGTCCAAGATGACCCAGCTTCTGCTCACACACTGCCATCCCAACAGCCCCGAGTCACCCCTTTCGCTCACAGCCAACTTTTCCTAGACCTTGGAAGTTTCTGCTGAGGAGAACGCAGTGTGGGTCTGGGGAAACGGCTCAGTTAGTGAGGCATCAGGGTTTGAGTTTGGATGTGAAAGACTTGGCAAGGTGGTGCATACCTGCAATCCCAGAAAGGGCCTGCTGGGAAGTTGAGGCAGGTGGATCCCTGGAAGCCTACAGGCTAAATGGCTTGGCCCATTGGGTAAAGTTCCAGGTAAATGAGGGAGCCCATCTCCAAGAAAAGGTAGAAAGCACCTGAGAACCAACATCCAAGGCTGACCTCCGACCCCCACAAATACAACACCAACACAGATACAGACAGACAGACAGACAGACACATACACACACACACAGAGAGAGAGAGAGAGAGAGAGAGAGAGAGAGAGAGAGAGAGAGAGAGAAACACACGCTATTGTTCATACATTGACTTACAACTTACTAAAGGCAAGCATGCTTTCAGTTCAATTAATTTCAAAACAACCATAATAGAGAGGTGGGACTACCCTTATCACACTCAGCTTACACATGAGTAAACTAAAACACAGACTGGCCACACAGCTCTTTGAAGGTTATAGAGTGAGCAAGTGGAAGAACTATGATTCAGAGCTGCCATCTTGTGTCCCCACATGTGTGCGCCTTATCTCAGCTGGTCTGCCCAAGACCCCCTGAGCGCAAACCCTAGTCCCCCACGTGGCCCTATTTCCACTCCGACAAGATGAAAGAAACGATCATGAACCAGGAGAAGCTGGCCAAAGTTCAGGCCCAAGTGCGCATTGGTGGAAAAGGAGCTGCTTGCAGAAAGAAGGTGGTTCACAGAACAGCCACAGCAGATGATAAAAAACTGCAGTTCTCCTTAAAGAAGTTAGGAGTGAATGATATCTCTGGTATTGAAGAGGTGAACATGTTTACAAACCAAGGAACGGTGATCCGTTTTAACAACCCTAAAGTTCAGGCGTCTCTGGCAGCGAACACCTTCACCATTACAGGCCACGCTGAGACAAAGCCGCTGACAGAAATGCTTCCCAGCATCCTCAACCAGCTCGGAGCGGACAGTCTGACTAGTTTAAGGAGACTGTCTGAAGTTCTGCCCAAGCAATCTGTGGATGGAAAAGCACCACTTGCTACTGGAGAGGAGGATGATGATGATGATGAAGTCCCAGATCTGGTGGAGAATTTTGATGAGGCATCTAAGAACGAGGCAAACTAAACTGAGGTGACTTCTGAAGAAGGTAACACCTGCAGAAGTTACAGGAGCTGCTATTTTATATCATGGCTGCTTTTTAAAATTCTTTTGTTTATGGATCTGATAAAATCTAGATCGCGAATATGTTTAAGCCCGAGCCCCTTGGACACCACAGCTCTTTCAGTTTTTGCTTAAACACAATTCATTCTTTGCAGCAAATTAAGCTGAAGAAGCCTGGGAATAAAGTTTGGAAAAGGGTTAATAAAATTCTTTGCCTAGTTAAAAAAAAAAAAAGAACTATGATTCAAAACCCAACTCAACTCACATACACTCCTTTTTAAAAGTTATTGTTTTATGTGTGGGGGTGTTTTGTCTGCATGTATGTCTGTGTACCATGTGCACACCTAATGCCCCAGGAGGCCAGAAGAGGGCATTAGACCCCCTGGAACAACAGTTCCAGATGGTTGTGAGCCACCATGCAGGGGCTGAGAACTGAACTCACGGCCTCTGGAAGAGCAGCCTGTGTTTGAACTGCTGAGCCATCTCTCTAGCCCCTATATTCCCCGTCTTAATCACTCTAATGTCTACCTCTCTGGCAAAGGACACAAAACAAACAAGAAAATTGTGTGTGTCTGTTCCAGATTCAACTTATCCACCCACGTGTAGTGTGTCTTGTCTGATCTCCACCTTCCTGATGCTAGATGTGACCTAGAACGCTTTTGCTTTCTTCCCGGATGAGATAGTCTCTCCACACCAAAATCAGGTGTGACATCTGCCATGCACCCCTACTCATCTGCTTTAACCTATCCTTGTTTAGCCAAGGGAACATTGCTCAGATAGAAAGCAGGTCGAGGCAACGAGGCCAGCAGTTCGTGGAAGTCCTTGAATGGTCTCACCCCCACAGAGATGCTGGGCTATGGTAGGTGGTACACACGACAAGTGGGTAGTGACATTTCAGTGTTTTAGATTGGAACCAATGCATAGTGTGAGCCTTTCTGTAGGCCTTTCTCTAGCTCCTGGGGTGTAGTGATAAAGCATCAGGAAGTATTCACCCAAAGAAGCCTTGGTTCTAGGTAGACTGGTAGGAAATCCATGAGCCAGTGGTCACGTTCATGTGACATATACCGTCATGATACTGAAAAGGAACTCTAAATTTCCAAGGCCATATAAGCAATGCACACTTTTCTGGAGCTTGGATGTCAGCAGGTCATTCAGGATTACCCCTCATCTGTCTGTCGGTAGTCTCTGCTCTCAAACTCTGCTCTCTGATGCACTATGCTTGGAATATTATTAATGACACCGGAGGCATTTTGAAAAACGAGTATATCATCATATAGTTGCTATAGTGGATACTAAAGCAAATATTTCCAACACAAGATTGTGCGACTGGTACTCAGAGAAGAAATGCTATACACACCGTGCAGCCTTTACACAATTCTGTGCACTTCTGTAAGAACATGAGCAAAATTGACAAAATGTTCTAGCAGTGTGGCTGGCCTCACAGATGCCTGGAAGGGTCTTGGCAACTCTTGTGAAGAGTATTCTGACAAAGGTGTGCTCATGAAAATGTGTATTTAAGTACCAAGATGTGTTTTTAAGATGTGTTTTTAAGATGAAAAGGAGAAAGCATTTACATCTATTTCTTACCGCTTTGAGTGTTTCTTCTTGCTTATTTTCCTACAGTTAGAAGAAGGAAAACATTAAATTACAGTGTGAATTTCCTGAAGTGTAAAGACCTATGGGTAGATTTTTAAGACATTTATATGCCTGCTTGCCTTTAAAAATGCAGGTATATATCAAAGTCCAATGTTTGGTCTTCAGGAGCACAGTCATCCCCGGCAATGAAATTACCTCTCTGCTGAGAAGTGTGCCTTTGCTATCTTGACGGCCCTCTGTAGTACCCTAGGCTCTGAGCAGGCTCAGCTGGAGACCCATTACTTCCTTCAAAGGTGGGTCACACTTTCTTCCCACAGAAATTGTATTGTTATTTTAATGCTGCTTCAAATGGATGGAATTCTTCAGAGTGTCCATAAACACCCATAAAATAACTCCCTAATTGCATTCCACTCTGCTGACAAGACTTTTCCTAAGATTCCTGTAATAGTGGTTTCTAAGCACAAACCTTTCTCCTTCTTGTGTTCAGATTTTTTTTTTCAATTTATTTCAGATGTAATTCTTGTCATCTTCAAGCGTTTTTCTAACAGGTAAGAAAATGTGTGACGTTCCCACTAACCACTTTAATTAGTCAGTGTGGGGAGGGAGTGGAGTTGCTGCTGAGTGCTGAGGAGGAAAGAGAGATGCTTCCTCTGGGAGGGAAAGGAAGAGAAAGGAGAAGAAAGGAAGGGAAGGAAGAGAGAGAAGCGAAAGGAAGAGAAGGAAGAGAGAGAAGAGAAGGGAAGGGAAGGAAGAGAGAGAAGAGAAAGGAAGGGAAGGAAGAGAGAGAAGAGAAAGGAAGAGAAGGAAAAGGAAAGGAGAAAGCACCATAAAGCTCGCAGTGAACACCTCAAGTTCTTCCTCAATGAATGCAACGACCTGCAAGAGAAAGAAAAGAAAGCCATGGTGTTCTAGATCCATCCCTTTGCTGGGAAAAAGACCCTGACAAATGGCAACTCAGGGGAGGAGGGGTTTTCGCGGCTCCCAGTTCCAGGTTACAGTTGTGCACAGATGTGCATGCCAGCAAAAACACCCAGACACAGAAAAGAAAACAAATCTTCGAAAACGATTAAAAGAAAATTGTGTTGTGTTTCTTCATGTGTTCTGTTTCTGTCTCTGTCTCTGTCTCTGTGTGTGTGTGTCTCTCTCTCAAAAGCTCCATGGATAATGACACAGTTTATATCTTATAATGGTTTCGACAATGACCAAGTCATAGTTGGCGCCCCAGAGCTGCTTGTTGACTAAAGAGATGATCAAATCGTTTGTCTGGGCTTTTCTATGAAGCAGTGGCTCAGAATTTTCCAGGAAAGGCTCTTTCAGCTCTGGCCTGGAAAGTCGTCACTCAGAGCCCCAGAGGAAAGAAGATGATTTAACTTTCAATCCGCACCTTCTTCATCCCAGCCACGTGGTCACCTGCTTCCTCCACTGTGCTTGGGGTTCTAGAACCCGGAACTCCGAGGGCTTCTGTTGGAGGCTTTTGCCTAGTCTCTCCCTCACAGAGCATTTGAGCTGGTCATCCCTTCCACAGTTGAATCAGTTAGCCTGGCTCCCCAGGCTTTCTTCCCACCCTCAAGAGATCCCTTTGATGGCGGTTGAGAAAATGGCGACAACGCGAGCTTGGGGCCCCGAGTTTGGATCCCAGCACCAATGTAAGAAGTTGGGTGCAGAGACACACACTCAGTCCTCCACTGCAAAGGCAGAGATGGGAGTGTAGTTGGGGGTGTCAGAGGACAGCTGGAGTCAGCTCTCTCCTCCCACCGTGTGGCTTCCAGGGGTGTAACTCATGTGACAGACGAGGCAGAAAGCTCCTGTACGCCTGAGCCATCTTGTTGGTCCATGTAATGGTTTTCAAAAATGAACCACACTGTCCGAGTACCAGGGCCAATGGGAGTATGGAGGAGGTTCCCACAGAGCTGCACCTACGTGACCCTGCTGTCATGAACCGTAAATGAATAACAGAACTATAGTCAAGTCCATGGGTCACACTCTGAAGTGGCCACCCAAGAGGCAGCTTGGCACAACCATACAGACATCTGGATTTAGAGTCAAAAGATGAGGATTCCAGTTCTGACAACAATAGACCTGCATTGGCATCAACAAACTATTGTAGAATTGCATGTCTTTTCTCTCACCTGTTTGCTGAAAAGACCAATTGAAATAAGTCACAAAGTGCTTAGGAGGCTTTACAGCACCCATCAGACTTTGCTTACTATATTGAATATTAGTCAGAGATTAATCAGAGTTTTAATTTCTGCAAGAACTAGATATACTGCATGTGAAACGCTTCATAGGTACAGGGAGGACCAGAAGGAACCAGTGGAAGGTATCCCATACCCATTTCCTCAGCAAAGGTATATGCCAGATTGTGCCTGGGGGCAGGCAATGGTATGTGTTCCTGCTCTTGACCTACAGTGTTTATGGTGAAGTTCTTGTTTAGAAATCATGTGAAGAAGTGTATCATTGGTGGTGAGAT